CGACCCTATCCTCCTAGATGACCCGGGGTGTCGGGAGTTTGAAGTTGGCTGCTGAATTGTGGCCCGAGGAGGGACCTCGAAGAGAATGGCGGCGAAGCTCCAATGGTGAGGGTAGTCGAAGAGGAAGACGATGAACCGATAGAGGAGGAGCCAAAGGAGGAAAAACACCCAAGACTTGAGCGTGAGAATGCAGACGTTGACGCGACTAAAGAGGTGAGTGTAAAGGGGGTAAAATCTCTGTCGCAAGTCTTTTAGTTTATGCTTTTCGTTCAAGTTATTAATTAGTTAGTTTTTGAGTAATGTGCGATATGTGTGTGAGGCATCCCACAGCCTGTAAGGTTGGAGGCACGCGTTGTGCTATGTATGCATGTATGGATGTATGATTGTAATAGTTGGTTAATGGTAAGAGGAACCCCTGGGCGGTTGGGCCACTACTAGACGCGGTAGATGGTCGGGTCACTGCTGGACGGCGAGACGTAACGCAGCAGTTGATCGAGTATATTGGGGTCACTACTAGACGGCGAGACGTAATGCAGTAGTTGATCGGCCATGGACTGGACGGCGAGACGTAACACAGTGCCATTGCCGAGCTTGGGTATGCAACTGGACGGCGAGACGTAACACGGTTGGCATACTAGGGTAGTGACACCGGACGACGAGACATAGCGCGACAGTCCCTAGTGTTAGTGTATATGGATTAAGAATATAAGTAAGGAAATTCTAAATATAAGATAGGAGTAGAGATCTCTTATAGACTGGTTTGATAACAAAGTATAAAGGATGAAAGCGAGAAGGACTTTTATTTAAGTCAAGAACCCCAAATAACGTGTTTTAGTAAGGATGATTATTTAAGAGCAGAAAGCGAGAATGACTTTCGTGCTAGGAAGGAAACTCTATTAACGTGTTAGTAGAAAGTTTGCTTAGGGCAAAGAACTTAGGAAGTAACGACGAGACTGTCCCCTTCTCACTCACCAGGTCGAGGAAGGGTTAATAGAGGCAGATTTCGAGAAGAGGCAAGGCGAGGCGAGTAGCTGCACCAGCATTGATGAGAAGTCAAGGAACTCATGGAGAGTCAGAGTTAGAATAGTTTAATTTCTTTGTTACATGGTTAGGAGTGTAAACTGGAGATTCTGAGTTCATTCATTTTAAGTATTGGATTGTCATTTGCCCAAGTGTTCAGGCTTTTTGTTTGAAATTCTTAAACATTGTCGGTTTAGTTTATTTTAAAAAGTGGTTTGGTTGGTCCGTAGTAGCCGGTTTTTGGTTTGAGTTATGGTTTAATTTTCTAAAAAGATCTGGTCGTTACATTGTCACTATCACTAGACCGTGACAATTGACCACACACCGTGACATCGGACGAAAATGACTCCAGTCCCCTGTGTTTTTTCTTCAATGTCGCAGGTGGGACTCCAATGTCACGGCTGTGAAATTTTGCTCGTGATTGTGACTGTCGGGCTGTATAAAAGACAGTAGCGTGGAGAGGGAAAGGAGAGTTGGTTCTGGAGGAGAACTTGGTTCTCTCTCTAGGGTTTCGACCCAAAACACCAAAGAGTAGTTGTAGAGAGAGTGAGTTTTTGAGAGATCTTGGAGCTTAATTGGAGGCTTGGGTTGATAAAGGAGACGAGGATTCAAGCCTAGAAGATGAAGATCTTGAGCATGGTTTGTAATATTGAGCATGGTTTGTAATCTTTCTTCTTTTACCAACACCCCCATTCCAAAAAGAACAACCGTACCAATGGAGGCCTTCATGGGGCATTCTTCAAGATCATGTGCCACTCTAATACTGGATCAAAAGAGCCAATGGGAGCTCATGGTGGAGCGGTTTCCCAGAGGCCCTGATAAAGGGTGCTCAAACTTAGATCTCCAACAACTTGAAGAGAAGTCCAAATTGGAATTTGCCATGGATAGTTTTGAAAGAGCATGCTCCAACACGAATTTCCAACCCTTACCTCCTCCCGGTTTGACATTATACGAGAAGGTGGCACAACGTTGAAGAAGTGCTTGGTGGGAGGCAACCCATTCCATCGGTATATATTGCTTTTCCTTTCAATAAGACAAAATTTGGAGAGATTTTGGTGTTTTGGACGTGGCCTTGCTCTTTTGGATCTCACCCGCCCTCCGCTCCTGCCCACCAACATTCACACCATATCCGGTAACATCGTTCTACCTCCTTATTTTATGCCATTGAAGGCAATGTCGAGCTTAAGTGTGGGGGTAGTCTATTATGCATGTTTGTGTGAATGATTGGTGTGATTTCGAGTGCTTGGAGCCTATGCCCAAAATTTATAAAAATTTGAGGGCTCCAAGCATAGCAACTTCTACATTTGCATGATCATACTAACACTTTTGGTGTTTTGTTTTGAATCTTGTGGCTATTAGCGTTGATGTATGGATGACTTGTTTGTGATTGAGAACAACCTATGATGACGAATGAGATATGCATTAAGATTGTGTGAATGTTCATTTCTCATGTGTTTGCAAATCAATGGATTTTTTGGATTGATTACTCATTGGTCACAATTTCCATGCATCAAAATTGGGAAGTTAGAATGAATGATTGAGCATCTAGGTAGCCATGTGAGATTTGTATCGCTCGGTTTCTTCTTGTGTGATAGATCCCTCTTACCATGATCTGTAGCATTCACGTTGTCACTAGTGAGGAAGATGGAAGCCTAGGTTTAGTCCACGACCCAAAGTTTGACTTGTCCCAATTAAATTATCCCCTAGTAAACCCTTTTGAGTCGTATATCTAAAGGTTACTCTTGCTAATTGAGCTTGATTGATATAGATAGAGCAAACCTACTTTCTTCATGTCTACACCATTTTTGAGTCACCCTTGTGCTTGGAAGCTCCCATCATATCAATTGAGCTTCATTAAGGTTCCACGTAAGTGATTGTGTACCTCCTTCACTCTTGTGCTTGAAAAGTTTGATAGCAAGTGTAGAAAAGAAAGTTTGTTGTGAATGGTTTGGTGATTGGTTATCATTTGGAATTGAGGGAAGTGTGGTTTTTGGGCAATGCTAGTGGTCATTGCTTGTAGAATAAGGTTATTGTCGAAATCATAGAACCTTGTGTTGGTTTTAGGTTGAAGATGTGGAACCTCATGCTTTATGTGACACCACTCAAAAAGCCTTTCCCCCATGTTCGAGACCCTAGCCGGTCATCTGAACCTATGTCTAAGACCTCCGGACAAGCTAGTGATGACAACCGTCTTGTGATCTCTAACATTTAGAGGTTATCGTCATGGTGAAGAGACGATAGGGCTGAGCGTTTGAGTATGCACATCTTTTGCATCAAAATGGTCCTGGCCCCACTAGTCAAGAGTGAGTGATTCATTCTTCATGCATGCTTCGTTCTTATCATGTATCCTAGTGAGGACCTAGTTTTCTCGATCATTCGTTCTTATGACGTGATATTTATGCATGGATAACTGTGATTGGTGAGTCGTCATTATAGGTCATACTTTGGTTTGTGAACAAGATGACCACTCTTCCTTTCCATGGTTCTATTGCATTCAAAAATGTCATTTGTGGTGGTTGTTAGTATTGTTGTTGTCGTCTATAGTTGATGTCTAGTAGCCATTGAAATTTACATGTTTTGTGCCCTATAACATACCCCAAAGTTTTCAAGAAAGAAGTTGCAAGCTTACCTTGTTTTGTACTTGGTTTGATTGGGGACAAGCAAACGTTCAAGTGTGGGGGTGTGATTCGGGCCTAATTACACATATTTTACCACTTATTTGTTGATAGTTTGACTTGGTAAATCATCGTCTCTCGACCTATTTTACGCTAGGTTGTGCTATTTTTGTTACATTTCATGTTCTAGTGCGTGTGGGAAGGTCGATGACCAGTTTCGGGACAACTGGAGTCGAAAGTGCCAAAAAGTGAATAAAAGGCGAATGTCAGGGGTATGAGTCAAAAGGCACGCCCTACAGACCGTGACAAAGGAGCCCAGGCCGTGGGATTTGACAATTTTCAAAACGCTTTGTACACCTCAGGGGCTAATTAATGGTCATGGTCACCGGACCATGACAATTGACCACAGATCGTGACATCGGACGAAAACGGCTGGCCCCTGCGTTTTTATCCGATGTCACAGGCGGGACTCCAATGTCATGGTCGTAACATTCAGCCCGTGATTGTGAAGGTTGGGCTTTATAAAAGACAACAGCATGGAGAGAAAAAGGAGAGCTGGTTTTTGGAGGAGAACTTGGTTCTCTCTCTAGGGTTTCGACCCAAAACACCAAAGAGGAGTTCTAGAGAGAGTGTGAGTTTTTGAGAGGTCTTGAAGATTAATTGGAGGCTTGTGTTGATCTTGGAGACAAGGATTCCAGCCTAGAAGATGAAGATTTTGAGCATGTTTTGTAATCTCTCTTCTCTCTCTCTCTTCTCTCTCTCTCTCTCTCTCTCTCTCTCTCTCTCTCTCTCTCTCTCTATGAATTAGACCTCTTCTCTTAGGCTGATGAACCTAGGTCTAGATTTTGGGTTAATGTTGATGTATGTGACAAATCCTATGTTTGATTGAGTTTATCATCTATTTGATGGATGTTTTCATGAATTGCATGAGTTCTACATGTCATGATGTCAATTGAGCTTTTGACCTAGGAGTAAGAAAATCTCCTTAGAGCCAACTTTTTGCATTTTTGGGTCACTCCTATCATATGTTGCCGGGGTAATCCCCGAATTTATTCAATCAATCTTCTAGCAATGTATGAAACCGTAGGTTGAATAGAACACCTTCCCATCCATCACTTCGCCGTTCCGGGTCAATCTCGAGTGAGTCGATCTCATGACGGTAGGGTAGTGAATCGATCGAGGTAGGATAGTACACAACATCGATCCAAACGATAGAATTAGGAGGATTCAAACCTGAGAGCTCCACAACTTGTAAGTAGCTAGGTTAGTGGTTAGATAGGTTAGTTAGTTTAGTTTTCCTAATCACTATTCTAGGTTGGCTAGATAACAAACCCTAAACCCGAAGTAAGGTAAGCCTAGATCCTCATGGTACGACAAATTTTATTGCTTGCTTACCCTATACTACACCCAGTCGTCGGTTATACTTGGCCGTCGATAAGGAAGTTGTAGTTAGAGCGAGTGAATTAGTAACTTTGGCACTGGTATGTAATGGACGGAAGGAGAACTACTGCACAAAGAACACAAGCACGTACACAAGCACGCAGTCTAGGACACAACACGCAGTCTAGGGGATTCAGAACTACAAACTCCAAATTGTTTCTCACAGGCAGTGTTACAGCTAGGCTACAACCTCTTCCAAGCCTAGCAATATCTGAGAAACAACCAATGAAAAAAGGAGAATGATAGCAAAAAATTGTGCAGACAAATTTATCCCATAATCTTTAAATAGAAATACGACGCTTCATTAATTGGGGAATACTATGGATTTAACAGCAGATATTGTGGCAGCAATTCCTTTCGAAGCAATACATACGCGTACTGGCCACATATACTTACAACTTCAGCAGACTATTTTTAGACCCTTTTCCCCTTCAACTAAGGCAGAGTTTTTTTAACGGAGTTTCAACTAAAGCAGAGTATTTTTTTCCCCCAAGAAAACTAAAGTCGCAACTCGCGTCATATGAACCTAGTCCAAACTCCCAAGACAAACACAGTTACAGATTCCCTATTCATCCTTCTTCCCCTTGTGCTTTCCCTTGGGGATCTTGCTCAGGAGAGACATGTCAAGCTTGCTGTAATGGCCTCGGAGCTGTTCAAATACCTTGTACACAAAGTCATCCACCTGATCCTCGTACTTCTCATATAGGACCGGCAATGTGTGAGCTCCAACAAAACCTAGAAGCAGAAAACAGCACACAAGGGTTGAAACAACTTGCAATTTTTATGAACTCACATATAGGACTGGGAGCTGCTACCAATACCATGGTGCTCTCCATTATAAAAAAAAAAAATTACCATGGTGCTCTCTCATCGTCCTAGGAACTCACCTATATACAGCACAGTCACGAAGTTGAACCAGCTTCCAATCACAGCAGCAACCCACAAGCTCCCAACAGCCTGAAGAAGCAGGTACATCAATTCCCTTTACTACAAGCCTCTAACATATTATTATTTACACCAAATGCAGGAAAGGAAATACTAAAGAGCAGCATTATGTGCATCGACATCCCAAGATGATAAAAACAATCAGAAGGATAACTGTTGTACTCATGTATTGGTTCAAAAATCCACTTGCTTTCAAGTGGAAACATATAATCAGATAGTAGCTCCTGAACTAACATAGCGATACTGATTACTGCGCAGGACCTGTTAGCTTACAGAGCCTTTTTCCTGATTTTCAGGCCTGCTATCCAGCATTATGGCTAGAAATGATAGGATGGACAGAAGACTCATAGGAAAAACTGATCCACTCTTACTAAGTGAAATTGGAATACATGAGACATTCCATCTACTGATATGAGACTATTTAGCAGATACTGCAAACCAAGCTAACCTAGAAATGCCAAACTCAGTTACAGAACTCCCTTGCATGTGCTTCAGGAGAACATTTTAGAATCACTGTTGAGAAGTAATGATATACCTATATGATTGGAACTTTAGTGAATGCTTATGCCAATTTAGTGGGATGAGGATATGTCTATTTAGTGTTGTGATATACATAAAAAAAAAAAGCACCCTGAAGATTCTAAGATTTGCAGCATACCACAAGAAAATGTTTCAAGTTCCCACCGCATGAAATATTCTGAAGCAGAAGTAGCGCACGATTAACCTCTGCGCCAACAGATTTGCCAATGCTGACAAACAACTCCTCAGGTAAAACAAGTCGGGGAACCTTGGATGATGACCTATTCACATGAAGAGAGTGTAAGTAGAAATAAAGATTACACATCACTCAATGAACAGAAGTGAAAGCAGGGGGAGAAAAAAACACTTACTGGTTCAATAGTCCCGAAACATTCCTCCACAAGAACTGAACAAGCATTCCAAGGACTAGAGCCAAGCACAGGAGAGTCAAGAAATGGTAATTTAGCCACTCAAAAAGCACCCACATGGCAGTTGCAGATCCTAAAACACTAGCAGATATCTTCTTGTTCCTCCATAACAGAACATCAGCAGCTGCATAAATTTCTGAGTAAGGGGCAGGGGCAAAGGCCAGAAGAGAGAAAATGACTGAAACACATTCATACATTTGCCACCACCCAAGACATGATGAATTGGCTTCTGGCGTCCAAACAATTTGTTGAATTGAGCTGTGGCTTTGTCTCTCTCTTCTTCAAAGAATGACCCAGATTTCTGTTTTGGGATGTTTTCACCAAAGGTTTCAACTAGGTTTGTTAGAATGTCCTCCGCAGTTATTTTGTCAGGCATACTTGCTGTGTTCAGGGAAAAATGCTGCTGCAAATCACAAGATTACAGCTCTTCAAAAGCACAACCTCGAAACATGTTCACACTAAGCACACGCAGAACTCCCGTAAAAGCAATACATAGGAGACTAGATTTGGGTAGTAACAGTGAGACTGTACCAGGATTGCCCCAGCAACTTGAACTAAAGGAAGGTTGGTTATCCATACACACACAGATTACAAGGTTGGTAATCAAAAGTAGAAAAGCATATTGCAAAGAAGCTGAAAAGCAATTGACAAGAAGGTCAAACCCACAAACTGATATCCAGCCCATCCTATTAAACTCTTTAAAGAGTCTAAACTTGCTTTTCCAGGAAAAGATCGCAGCTGCAGTCCGTAAACTTTCTGCCAATACACAGAGGTTCCAGCATTAAACATTATAAAGAACCTCATCAAAGCTGCCGGCTAAAGCTACAAATATGAGGAATATACTACATCTCACAATAGTCCGAATCCCCTTGATATCGTTCTGGCTTTCCCTTTCTCGGATTTAAGTCAGCATGACAGAAAAACTGTTAACATGCTGAGGATCATCTACTACGACCCCTCATTTAGGCAAAATCGACGGAGCAAATTTCACAGATCGAAGCACTAAAAGATGCAACAGAAATCAACTAGAAAGCAAAAAATCAGCAGCCATGTAACGGATTGGGAGAAAGGAAAAACACAAGAAGCGAGAGAAGAATATCAGAAACCAAGCCAGAGATCAGGGAAGAAGCGAGACAGCGCGTACACAGTAAGGAGGGAGGGGGAAGGTAGCTGAATTTGTGCTTCCCCGACAAGTGAGGAGGAAAGCTGAACCAACAACAAGTCTTTGGAAAAGGTTAGCCTTTATTTTGCAACCTCCCTGACTCAGTAATTGACTCGTTCGTTGGGCGAGTCGGACGGTATTAATGGCGGCTCGCTATCTTGCAGCAAGCTCTCTAATGGCGTGCGGAGCGGAGAGACTTGAATGAAATTATATAGGTCGGGCGGGTCCCGCACTCCCGCTATCCTACGTGTCATAACGATCTAATCTCTTATTATATTACGGCGCTACTTCTGTACAGACTATGAAATGGCTGTACCGATACCACGAAATCGTGAACGCTGCCGCACTCCACGTAATAAGGCTGAGCTGGTTTAATTCATTCATTCATTGATAAGAACCGGCAATCGGGTCGGGTTGGGTAAGTTTGGGTTGTGAACTTCGGTTACGGGTCGGGTCATATTTGATTGGCTTATTTCGGGTCAAATATTGACCCAACCCATTCGGTTTCGCGTCGGGTTATGAGCGTTCTCAGAAACGATATCAAACATGTTTCATATTTTCTTAAAGAACACATATATTCAAATATGCAAGACAATAGTTTACCTAACACATGTCAATTAACATATTCTCAAATCCTCACACGCTAATGAAATGAAATATAAATTCACAAATCGTCAAAAAACAATCACAAGAGTAATACTACTACAAGAAACACATGATATTTGATTATCCTACAACTCCAAACATGTCATTGAAATTCTTGCGATTTTTTTAAACATCTCACCAATTTATGAGTGATTATATCATATTATGGGAGTAATATATTAAATGGAACGGTTCTAACGGGTCGACCCGCTAACCAACCCAACCCGACCCAAAAAATTACGGGTTATCGGATTTGGGTCATTCTGATTTCGGGTTACAAAAATTTCTAGTTTTTTGGCGGTTTCGGGTCGGGTTGTAATTTTCCAGGTCTATTGATAACTATAATTCTTGACATTTAGAGGTCGTTTGGGGGGAAATTTTGAATTTTAGATTCATCGACTTCATAGATTCAGTAGAAATTTTGGAATCATTTGGAGGAGTGAAGCTTGGTGAGCTCTTGTGTAAGCCCCATGCCTCTATCCTTCTAGAATTTTCGGAACTAATCCATATAGAATACCTCTATGAAATTTGGAGAATTGTGTGTGAATTTGAAGTTTTACTATGTACAATAAAATTATGTGTGCAAATTTAATTCATGGAACTTAATGTTACTGTAGTCAAAGTGGTCTATCATGATGTCTACCAGTCGGCAGGTATGTATTAGTTTTTCAATTTTTGTACTTTTCTTCCACAAAAATGTTAACTTTTTTAACAAAATATAATCATATTGATCTAAAGAAAAATCAGAGGTTATTGAACTCTGGAACCAACTCAGGAACAAAAATCAAACATACGACACGAGGTCGGAGGCAAAAAATGGCCTTCGAGCCACAAGATGGGCTACCTTATTGCTAATTCGACCTACAAATAAAACATGAAAATCGCTATTTAGAGTCAACATACACATAATTTCCTCAATAATGACCCCAACACGACTATCCCGCACATCCTTGGATTGATCTTGTCAATAAGCACCTTAGCATCACATTCAAATAAAACCTGAGCGAATCCACGGTCCTGACACCACTAAATAGCTTCGTGGAGGACAATAGTCTCAACAACAAGAGGGTCATCAATATCCTCCAAAAACAACTCTTTGGTTAAGAAAACAGAGTCTTCTTCCTTTTTCATGATTATCCCTTGCACTGAATGTGAGCCATCACATACCGCTCCATCCCACATACAAATAACAGAGGACGAACCTCCCGCATCCGAACTCTGTTGCAAAGGAAGCTGATTTAGGACCATCCTATCTTCCGGCAAGTAAACCCAGTCATGGAGTTGCTAATGGTATTGGCGCATCAGATTAGTAATCCGAAATTGTTTTCCTTCAAAGACAACCCAATTTTTGGATTTCCATATACGCCATGAGACCAGAAAAAGGGCCATAATTTGAGCGGTTGGGTCATCCGCAACAAGCATTTATTGAGAAAAAGAGTGAAGGTATGCCATGGTGATCCTTGCCCCAAATTCTCTAGTCCCGAGTGAATCCATAGAGCTCTACCGATTTGGAAATCTAAAAAGAGATTCTCCATCGTTTCATATTCCTCCCAACTCACCGGGCATCGGGGCAACATCTGGACCTTTTTCTAAATCATAGCCTCCGTAGTTGGAAGAATGCGCTAGAAAATTTGCCACAGGAACAATTTTAGTTTAGACGGAATTGTATATGGGCGCTGGGCCGTGCTTGGGCCGGCACAGCACGGGCACGCTTCGGGCCCATTTATTTCGTGTCGTGCTTGGCACGGTCCGTCAGTTTTCGTATCGTGCCATGTAAGCTCATTTGTTAACTTTGCTAGGGCCGGCCCAGGCTCGGGCACGGTTCGAATCGTGTCGTGCCTATTCGTGCTCGTGTCATGCTCGTATTCGTATTTAATGAAAAGGACGAAAACAAAAGAGAATGAAAAAGAAGGTGAAAATTGGACGGGGGAAGATAGTATTAACCGATAATGTTTGAGAAAAGTAACAAATAAGGGGGGAAAGAAAATTGGAAGTATAGCGAGTGTGATTTGGCTTTGTTTAATTCTTTGTCCATTTTTACTTATGTTAGTAATTACGTATATATCTTTATGACACTTCTAACAACAACAAATAATTAATTTTCTACTTGTGTTTCGTAATATTTGAACCTATAATTCTCTTTATATTTATTTTCTATCAAATAAATATTATTTTCGTGCCATGTATGTTCTTATACTCAATAAAGTCTCAAAAATATTAGGCCCGACATGGGCCACTTATATACCGTGCCATGTCCGTGCTCGTGCTCGTGTCCATGAAAGTTAGGCCCGACACGGCCCATAAATTATTTGTGCTCGTGCCGGGTTGGCACATTTATTTCTTGCCTGTGCTCGTGTCGTGCTCTAACCGTGTTGTGTCGTGCTAGCCAGTGGGCGGCAGGCCCGTTGCCCATGTACAGGCGGAATCGAAAGATCCTACATTTGCATCTAACATGTTCTATCCATCCAACTCACTGTGGATCTCCAAACCCCTAACTGTCTATCCACCAAAACATCAAGATGATATGCAACCTTGACAGTGAACACCCCATCACACGTATCATGCCAAATCAAGGTATCATATATCTCCACACGAGGTACATGAGTTTCTTTAATAGCACGAATTGTGTACGGTGCAAACATCTGCAAAAGAAATTGTTGACACCATCTTCCTCCCCCTGGAACCATAAGCTCTATCACCTTAGGAGCACTTCCCTCCAAAATTGCATGAGGGTTACAATGAGGAGGTTGGGGTGAGAACTAGGAACCCAACTAGAATGCTAGATAGAGGCCCGAAGTCCATTCCCAATCTGCCATCGCAACCCTCTTTGAAGAAGGAGGCGTCCATGGAGAATACTCTGTCATCCCCACGACGGACGAGATTGCGCAGTAGTTATCAAGAACGAACCCATTAGGAAGTACTTCCCTTTGTAAACATGGGCTAGAAGAGAATCAGGTTTATTGAGAATCCGTCATCCAATCTTAGCCAAGACAGCTTGATTAAAATGCTCAAAGCAGACAAATTCCATCCCCCATCATGTTTACTCTGACACAGATTCTTCTAGGAGATCCATCAAATACAAGGACGACCCCTTTCAACTCTCCACCAGAAATTGGCCACTTGTTTATCCAGAATTCGACAGAGGGGTAGTGGAAGTTTGAATCCAGACATAACATGAAGTGGTAAAGAAGCCGCAATTGATTTAATGAGCGTCTCCTTTGTCGCCCATGATATCACCTTTTGCTTCGAGCCCTGTAAGCGTTGCAACAACTTCTCTTCTAGATATCGTATTGAAGCCATCTTGGACTAACTAAGGTATGATTAGGAAAGACCAAATACTTATTACGCACCACCACCGCTCCTACGCCAAAACGAAGAGCAAGGTTTTCTTGGTCCGAAGGAAAAATATTCATACTAATTATTAAAGCACACTGCTAATTTAGCAAGGTTTATCCTTTGCTCACTAAGCTCCTCATATTCATTGAAAACCTCATACAGATTTCACATTCTTGCATCAAACCTCTGAGGAATAAGTATGAATCATCTGCGAAAAACATATGGGAAATACACGTGGCTCTAGGGCTAACTCTAGCTCCTGCTAACTTTCGGTCATCGATGGCTTTATGAATGGGTGTCGCAAACCCCTCTATATAAATGACAAAGAGTACGGGGGACAAGAGATCCCCCTGTCAAAGTCCCCGCCAGGTTTTCTGGTTTAAAATAATAGGCGGGGTTGCCATTCATAAGGACAAAGAAAGTCGAAGAGCTCAAACACTCCTGATCCACCGTACCAAAGTCGGTCTAAACCCCATTTTATCCAAAATCACAAGTAAGAACAACCATTCGACTCTATCATAGGCCTTTCCCATATCAACCTTCATATCCATATAGCCCTGCTTACCCTTAGTTTTTATCTTAAGGTAATGCATCAATTTGTGCCCAATAAGAACATTATCCACTATCTGTCTTTCATGAATGAACGCATTTTGCCCGGGTGAAATGATCTAGGGGAGAAACTGAGCATCTTGGAAATGATTTTATAAACGAATAGACATAAGCTTAGAGGGCGCAACTATCTCATATTCTCTACATTGTCCACTTTTGGATAAGCGTCAATCAAGTGTGGTTAAAGATTTGCAACATTCGCTCCGTTTGAAAATATGAGCAAACAGCTTTAACTACAAACTCACAAAGGACGTCCCTAAATGCTCTGAAGAATTTTCCAGTGAACCCATCCAATCTCGGTATCTGTTTGGAAAGCGAGCAAGAAGACCGTTCTCCAAAATTTCGATGCCATAACTTCACTTGTCAGAGCTACATTCATCTTAGAAGTTACCATCTAACCAATCGATAAATCAGCCATTGGGGCCTCCATATTTTTTACCTCGTTCGTAGAGGTAAAATGCGTATGAAAGAAATCGACAGAAATATCTATCGTCCCCTTTTCATCAGTGATCCATTCACCTTCCCCATTTCTCAAACCAGACACAAAATTCCTCTTCCTCCTCACCCTGTGATTATGTGGAAAAGAGAAGTGTTGC